AACGAATTATCGTTAGAACAAGTAATTTTGGCTTCGTACAAGGATTTAATATATTTTTTTTAATATTGATGAGATTTGATTTTTAATTTAGATATCTGTTTGTGTGGGTTGGTTTTCTATGCACCTGACTCTCATATCCAGTATCATTCTTTAAGAGTAAAACATAACGGCAGTGTATTATTATATTCCGTTTCTATGGTAAATGTTATTGTCTCTTCTTTATCGTTCAACAATGATCCTTGAGGCCGCATTGAGGACACATAATCTACCTCTCTACCATACTGTGGGTTTTGAAAGTACTGTACGTGGGTACAGTACTTTCAGTAAATTATTCGTCGATATAATAAATACCGCAGTAGTACCAGCGGAATGGAAGGAAAGTCTCCTGCTACTGACACTTAAAAAGGGAGACTCGAGAAATCCTGAAAATTATAGAGGCATTAGTGTGATGAATAGTACATTAAAATTGTTAACGGCAGTTATAAAAGATAAAATCGAGGAAAAAGCGAACATGGCAGATGAACAACAAGGCTTCCGGAAGAACCGCAGCACAATCGACGCAATTTTTATTATCAGACAAATAATAGTCTATTGAATATGGAAAACCAGCAGACATGTGCTTTTGTAGATTTAAAAAGTGCTTTTGACAGGGTGAAGCGAAATGACATCTTAAATTTATTACAAGCTGAACAAATAGACCATCAGATAATATGGACACTTAATGAAATTAACAAGAACAACAAGACCAGAGTTATAATGCCAACAGGAGAAACTGAATGCATAGAACTAAAAGGAGGAATCTGCCAAGGAGACTCGCTCAGCCCATTGTTATTTAATATGGTAATGACTCAAATTATTCACAAAGTAAGAAAACGACACAGATACTACATGGGAGCGCATAAAATCACGATACTATGCTATGCTGATGATGCAGTACTAATTGCTGATAACGAAAATGACCTACAAAGTTAGCTCCACACCTTCAATATCACAGCAAATTAACATAATATGAGAATATCAGTAGAAAAAATTAAATGTATAGTAATCAGTAAAGAGCCGCGTAGATGCAAATTAGAAATAGATGGCAAAATTGTAGAACAAGTAATGAAATTCAATTACCTAGGAGTAGAGATCACTAGTGACAGGTATATAAGAACAAAGACCACAAGGCAAGCATTAAAAGCGGCAAGAGTAAGTTGCCTTTGAGAAACCATATGGAGAAACAAATATCTGACCACGAAAGCAAAATAAAAGTATACAAGATAACAGTAAGACCAATCCTAACATATGCAGTGGAGACAAGGACTGATACAAGAAAGACGAAACACAAATCAACAATATCGAAATGAAAGTATTAAGATTAATAGCGGGCATATTTATTAAGAGACAGACAAACCAACAGAAGTATACGCGAATAATGCAAAATTCAAAATATTAACAGGTGGATAAAAACAAGAAAAAAAACTGAAACGAACATGTAAACCGAATGAGACCAGATAGATTAGCGAACATCTGTAAAAACAACAAGCCGTATAGCAGAAGACCCGTTGAAAGGCCGCCAAAAAGGTGGAAAGATAATGTACAGTCAACAACGACTGAAGCAGAATAAGAGGCAGACAAACAGGAGTAATCCTAGTTGCACGAAGAAGAAGACAGTTCCATCCGACGACAGCATAATATTAGTGGTACTCTTAGCGAAATACTTAATTCACCTGGTGTAATGAACTCTTTAATTAGTTTATTGAGAGACTAACTTATATGTTTTGATATAAAATATTTAAAAATTTTGTATATACAGTGTGGAAACCACTTATGGAATAAAATTGTTTGTGTCCTTATTTTAGAAAATAATAAAAAACTTTGAGATAGCCTCACTTTTAAATTTAAATGTACGCTTTTTAGACATAAATTTGAATGTACAGGGTGATCAATGCAAGTCTGGCATGGTGCATAATGTGTATTTTAAATGAAACACCCTGTATATTTTCATGTTTTTAAAAGCTCCTTAACAACCTGATTTTAACGGACTAAATCATATAGGGTCTATTATAAATAATACAAGGTGAAATTTTGAAATTAGGTATTTTCTTCAAGACAATGAATTCATAGAATACCCGATGTAATTGATTGGATTACATTAAAATAAATGCTCAACATGTTCTCCACCTTGTTGTTAGCAATAACACAGCCTCCTATAAAACTCGTTCCGAACTTTGTTTAGAGTTTGAGGTGAAATATTCCGTATTTCTGTAGTTATCCCTACTTTTTGAGATCTTCAATGATAGTTGATTGTGTTGCATATACTTTGTTCTTGAGATAACCCCACAAAAAAATCCAAAGGCGAAAGATCTGGCGACCTAGCTGGCCGCTCACCACTCCCCTTCATGAGTGTGTGTCTCACGCATCCAATGAGGATTCTCCGCTGACCAATATCTACAGTTTTGTCAGTTTACCTTTCCGTTCAATGTAAATGTTGATTCATCAGTAAAAAGAATTGTGCCAAGATCTATTTCATTTGTTAATTTTATCCATCATTCTTTTGCAGAAATCCATTCTACGATCCGGATCGTCTTCTGTTAGCTCCTGCACAAATGTCAATTTAAATAGATGAAGTTTTCTTCATGGAGACACCTTAGGACAGTTGTGTGACTCACATTATTTTGACGTGCAATTTGACGTGAACTTGACGTTGGATTCTCTGCGACACTTAAGAAAATATCCACTTTCACTTCATCTTCAATGAAGTTCGATTTTCTTTTAATGGTTTGACATGTCCAAATTCTCTGAATTGTGCATAAATTTTAGACACAGTACCTTGTGAAATATTAGGCAACTGAGGATACCTCTGATTAAATAAGTTTACTACTTAACTTGACTTCTACAATTCTCCTAACCGATCATCATTAAAATCTCAATTCGTGGCCTTATTAAATATTTTAGTTTTATTTCGCAATAAATAGTTTTAATTAGGAATTATTATTTAATGTAAATGTCAACAGCATGTCAACTGATTATAACAATCCGCATTATTTACAGATTTAGTTACTTAGCAACTCTCTAGTAGACGAGTAGAAGTCTATTGTCTGTATTTAGCTAATTTAAAATAATATCATAACACGTGATAAATTATTAATTTAAAAATTTCACCTTGTATTATTCATTATAGACCCTACATGATATAGTTCATTGAAATCAGGTTGTTAAAAGTATTTAAAAAACATAAAAATATACAGGGTGTTTCAATAAAAATAAGGATTATGGACTATGCCAGACGTGCGTGGATCACCCTGTACATTTAAACTTATGTTTAAAAAGTGCACATTTAAATTTAAAAGTTAACGTGTCCCAGAGTTTTTGATTATTTTCTATAATATGGACACAAACAATTTTATTCCATAAGTGGTTTCCACACTATATTAACAGCACCTAAACTGGTAAAATTTAAACTAATAAACAATGCTAATATTGTAATCATTGTTTTTAGTTCCCGTGTCAATGACCATTAGTTGTCGAATAAAAAAAATTTTTAGAAATAATATTTGTTTTGAAATATTCTATGAATAGATTTACTAATAATAAAGATAAAACAGACCCTATTGCTTATACCAAAATTTTCTTTATAGGATTCATTATTACTTGTCAAGGTATAATCATTCTGTATTTTGTTTTTGTTTTATCTAATGGCACATTTTTAAATAAACTAAATATGTCAAAACAAAAAATTTATTTAAAAATGTACAGGCTTTATAAAGGAATTATTATTATTTGCAAATGATTGTATAATAATAAATAAAAATTTCGACAGTTCACTATAAGAAGAATACATGGCACTACGTATAGATCTAAGTGGTGTATTCGCTTTATGAACTTTCGGTACTTCCATTGTGTACTTTATAAAAATTAGACGTGTGTAAATAATGATAATCGTAATCTCTATTTTTTCCAAATGCTATTCGTTGAATCCTTTGTTAATTCTTTATAAGGTCCTTTTGTGATTTGGTTATTTCATTTTCAGATATATTATCTCCACTGAGCTAATTATGAGATAATAATAAGGATAAACTCAATTGTAACAGTCAATTTTTTCGGGTCGGGCACACTTTTTAATTTTTTTTGATCATTCTGAACAAAATAGCTCTCTTGTAATTTTTTAATAAACTTGATTGTTTTCGAGTTATAAACAATTAAAAACTGAAATAAAAGCAAAATTTTTAAGGCTCAACAACACAAGTAAAAAATACTATTTTTGAATTCACCAAGGACCTAAATTTAAGTTCAAGCCTTGTTCTATCAGCTCTCTTTTGCACTCTTTTATCAACTTTTCGCCTGGCCGACCTATTAAACCTTTTGAGCTTTTCGTTTTGTCTATGTAGATCATTTTGACATATATAAATAACAATTGTGCATGTTGGATGATTTCATGCTCACTTTATTTTTTTTCTTTAATATTGGCGAAGAAAAAGGTTTACTGTCATTGATTTTCATGCTCGGAATCTATTTTGTTTTGCTTCATTCATATTTTAGTTTAAGTTTGATGAACCATCTACAAAACTATATGATAATCTCAAGATAATAAGGAACCATCCAAATACATTTTATTTAAATCAAATACTATATTAGTTTCTTTACTACTTTTTCTTAATATATTAGGTATTATGCAAAGATTATAAAATGTTTCGTTCTACTGACATACATTCTACGCGTGTATAATACTGAGATAGTCTCAATGGATGACCACAGCGATACTTAGCTACTGCGTCCATACGATTACGTTAACTTATGTTATAACTAAGCATTCACTTTCACTATCCTTCGCAGTGTAGTGCTGTTTTCTTGCTGGTTCATATAAGCGGCGTAAATAAATTGCTTGTAAATAAGGATAAAAAACCGTTCAAAAACGAATTGTACCGCTGTATTTGATAGTTTGATGGAGTTACCATAAGTTCATTAAAGAGCGGGGAGTTCGCTCGCGATCTGTAAGGTAAGTCAGCCCAAGGATTATTTCGTTAGTCGTCAAAGTGAACTACAATCAGTTGGAAAATGTCTTAACTATAACAGTGATCAAAACATGGTGTTGGGGAAGATTATCATTCGGGTAGTTTTCGCGATATGCTTGCTTTTGCTCATAGTTACGGACTATTCCGGAATTTTGCACAAATTGATTGGTGGAAATAGGTCTGATGATCACCATGTGTCACCCCGACCAACAAATCCTGGATACGGGGATTCCAAGACTGATATAGACATAGACGCTGACATCGAAGAAGAATCTGTCAAACATTTAGGTGAGTATTTCAAATTTTCTTTTGTTTCTGTGTAGAAAATATTCGAATTAAATAAGTTTTAATTTAATTAAATTACGCTCAGTTTGGCAAAAAACAATAAACAATATTATCCAAAATATTTAACATGGACTGTCAAAAAAAATTTTCTTTCAATTTATGAGTTTTTTTAATTCCTATAATATATATACCATGCGGTCCATATGTATGGAATAAATTCATTTTTAGCTTTATTATGTACTATGTGAAAAAAACCTTAAACAGGTCGATTTTTATTTTTAAATTGACAATTTACAGTATAAAAATATTATACCCTTCTAGCACCCCCTTTGAATTATAAGCACCCCCTCGAAAATTTTAAATGACAAAGGGGGTCGTGTGACACTTTGTTAGAAAGGGATTTTAGTCCTCTCTTCAGCAATATAATTTTTTTTTTAATTTGTGCCATTATAACTGAGAAAATTGATTTTTAAGATGTAAAATTTTGATAATGTCTCTATCACAAAACAGTAGGTTAAATGAAGATATAAATATCATAATATTTAGAATGTATTTTTCAATATAATTTACAATTAAATTAAGTGTTCAAAATGACCACCATTCACTTCTTGACAATAACCGATGCGATTTTGGAATTCTCGTACAACATTTTGTACGACCTCGGGGGTTATTTTGTTTATTTCTTCCGTTATCCTAACTTTTAAATCAGCAATACTGTTTGGTCTATTAAAATATACTTTAGATTTTAAATATCCCCATAAAAAGTAATCGAGAGGAGTCAAATCTGGGGATCTAGCCGGCCATTCGATCGTTCCACGTCTTCCAATCCACCTATTGGGAAAAACCTCGTTTAAATAATTTCTAACTATACGTGCAAAATGCGGTGGAGCTCCGTCTTGTTGGTAGTAAATAGATCGATCTATTTCATTTGGATAATCACCATCTGGAAAAGATCTTCGTAATGTAGGCACTAAAAAGTTAATCAAAAAATCTAGATAAACCTCACCATCAACTGTGCCCTCAAAAAAATAAGGACCAATAATTTTATTGTTAATAATACCAGCCCAAACGTTAACTTTTTTAGGATATTGCGTGTGACTCTCACACACCCAGTGAGGATTTTCTCTGCTCCAATATCTACAGTTCTGTTTGTTAACCGTTCCGTTTAAATGAAACGTCGCTTCATCAGAAAACATTATTTTGTTTATGAACTGCAAATCCGCGTTCATTCTGTCCATCATTATTTCACAGAATTCTTGCCTTCTATCAGGATCATCTTCATTTAACTCCTGAACCAACTGAAGTTTGTAAGGGTGATATTTTTCTTTGTGCAAAATTCTCAAAATAGATGATTTACTTACATCATTGACGGCGGCAAGTTCTCGAGTTGTCTTATGCGGATTTTCCTCAATCTCTAGAAGTACATCTAACTTTTTTTCATCAGTAAATTTAATAGTTCTACCTGGTTTGTCAATATTTTTTACATGTCCAGAATAACGAAACTTCTTTTCAATTTTGCTAACTGTAGACTGTGAAACTTGTTGACCAGGGTATTTATCATTAAACATTTCACAAACCTCCTTTTGAGTTCTTGTTTTGTTACCACAACCAATCATAATTAAAATGTCTATTCTTTGAGTCTCTGACAAATGAGCCATAATTAAATTTAATCCGCGCAAAAATATTTTACTAACTTTAAATACCTAGATGACAGCAGCCTACTCGATTCATATCAATAGTTTATTTGGCTTTTTAACTAATATTTTATTATCTTCAAAGTTTTTTCCCTAATTTTTAGCAAAACAGATACGAAAATACCTGATTATTTTTAATTTATATTTTAATAGACCAGGCAACACTGCTGATTTAAAAGTTAGAATAACGGAAGAAATTAACAAAATAACCCCCGAAGACATACAAAATGTTGTACGAGAATTCCAAAATCACCTCGGATATTGTCAAGAAGTGAATAATGGTAGTCAAGTTGAACATTTAATTGAAATGTAAAAATCAATTTTCTCAGTTATGATTGCACAAATAAAAAAAAACTTTATATTGCTGAACAGAGGACTAAAATCCCTTTCTAACAAAGTGTCACACGACCCCCTTTGTCATTTAAAATTTTCGAGGGGGTGCTTATAATTCAAAGGGGGTGCTAGAAGGGTATAATATTTTTATACTGTAAATTGTCAATTTAAAAATAAAAATCGACCTGTTTAAGGTTTTTTTCACATAGTACATAATAACGCTAAAAATGAATTTATTCCATACATATGGACCACATGGTATATATATATATATATATATATATATATATATATATATATATATATATATATATACTACTAGGCATATGTTGGGCATTTCAGAAATTTATCTTTTCATCTTCATTTTCTTTATCCTACAACTAGTTCTTTCAAGATTTTTTGATATTTTACTTGTAACCTAAGTCTGTTATTCTCGTTTTATGGATGTAACGCTTAAATGCGTCTACTAATCAACTTTTTACCGATGTTACCGACGTATTTTGAAAATATGGATAGATCACAAAACAAACGAACAAGTTTTCGAACAACTAGGAAAACAATGCGAAGTTTTAAATTCCATAAAAATCAAGAATACTTGGAATACTTGGGGCAAATCATGAGAGGTAAAAAATACGAACTACTAAGGAATATAATGCAGGGTAAAATTAAAGGCAGAAGAAGCGTAGGAAGACGTAAAATCTCGTGATTACGCAATCTCCGTGATTGGTTTGGATGCAGTTCAATTGAACTATTCAGGCACGTAACCAACAAAATTATAGTTGCCAGAATGAATTCCAATCTCCGATAGGAACGGAACTTGAAGAAGAAGAAAAATCAACTTCTTAATTGTCCTCTTATTTTGTTCCCTACTTTCCTCGCCAATAATATTATTGGGATATTTCAATTTATTAACATCCGTAACCCACATTCCAAATATTTTAGTCTCTACATCCGAATTTGATATGTCATTTTGGGTCGACCATATCCATGTTATCTCCATTAATTTGCGCTTAGTTCATTTTTTCTATTCTCGTTCCACACCTTCATACCTCCAATGATTTTCCTTTCTCGTTCTGCTCCATTAAGTCACCAAATGGACGAAGAAATATTGGCAGACCAAGAAAAACATGGTGCGAAGAAGTATTGGCAGACCAAGAAAAACATGGTGCGACAATATAGGAGGCTAATATTGAAGAAGAAATAGGCTTTAAAGCCTATATACTAGAAGGAAGAAGAAGAAGAAGAAGAAGTTCTGCTCCATGATCTTAGTTTCATATATGTATAGGACTGTTGATCGAATTATAGTTTTGTATGTTCACATTTTGACTACCCTGGATATTTTTTTCTTTATTCTTCTTCTTAACGTGCCCTGACGTTCTCGATTAACATGGCGAAACTGTCATTGTCTCGGGCTATTCTAAAGAGCTGCTCAGCTTCCTTATTTTCTTTATTAATTTATTTAAATTTATTCCTTATACGACTTGTACCTGTACACTTTCGACATCTCTTTCTTTCTATTTAGATTGTTTTGCTGAGTGGCCGTATCTCAGACATTTGAAACACTGTACAACAGGTTGTCGGTTTACGAAAATTACATTTCCATCAGAGTCTGTAATTTTCCTTTTGTTACGATGAACGCTTACTACCTGTTTGTATGATTAGATTGCCCTTAATAAATATTTTTTAGAAAAATCGTCCTGATAACTCATTTTTTGTCAAGTATAGAATATTGGTGTAAATGCTATTAAATAGTGTTTTAATAATACATCATGGTTAAGTAAGCTAATGGCTATTTACAATGTATTGAAATAACGTTTTCCCAATTAAATCCTAACGGTTTTATATCTTCCTTTTTTTAAGTCTCATCCTTAAGTAAAAAGTACCCTATTTTAATTTGAAAAATTGTCCCTAAATTTTTATTAACCCCCTAAAAATGTCCCATGAGCTTGTAGTCTATAGATTTCTTACCGCAACTATATCTTAACAAGAGCCAGCGATGTTTCCATTTGCTGGGAATATGACGAACATATAAGAAATACATTTTGAAAATTATCCAAATAATGAAGATATTGCAAAGTACATAATATAAAAGAAATTGTAGATAACTTTCGAGGAAGTGACTAAAACACAGACTACAAGAAACTGACTTTTAAATTAAAAATACGACTTCTTTATATAAATATTCTTCAGATTATATGTTTTCATGTAGATAACCATCATCATTATTTATCAATTTACCTAACTACTGGACAGTAAAAAAGTAAAGCGACAAAACATGAGTTTAAGGGTTTATACTTTGTGAGAATTATCTTCCAAGCGAATAAATACAATGCTACTGAATTTTAATTTATTTGTGTAGCGCAATTGTTAAAAATAAACAAGGTAAACAGAAGTGATTTAAATATTTACCATAAAAAAACAATAACATTGTTTGTTGAGTTTTAATAGCAATGTATTCGACACCGGCATACAGTACTTTTTTTAATGTAGAAGTTTAAATTACTAGCCGCCAGGATGAATAGATAGAGCCATGATAAATATATCTTCCTCTTTGCACCCTCTCCCATTATCCGTTGGCGATCATATTGACAATTAAACCTTTGTTCACGGCAACTCAAAACAGATTAACAAATGTCTCTTGACACCACTCTCGGGGATTTCGGAGCCAGGATGTTCTTCTTCGGCCTAGACTACTTCCTTCGGAGATCTTGCCCTGTATTATGAGGTGTAGAAGGTTGTACCTTTCTGTATGTCTCCTTGCGTCGCCAAAATATTGTAACTTTCAATTTCTTATTGTTTTAGTTATTTCTGGGCTTTTTTTTTATTCGGTGTAAAACTATTTCATTTGTTATTCGATCAACCCAACTTATCAGCAATATTCGTCGGTAAGCACACATCTTAAAGGCCTTAAGTTTTTCATTGATGTTGTAAGAGTCCAGCTCTACATGCCATACAGCAATGGTGGGAATATGTAGC